TCCTCCTGACCTGACTGCCCGCGGCAAGATCGGAGTGGCTGGTCTTTCCTTTCTACCTCGAGAGGAGGCTTGGCTCTTAGGGGGGTTCTGGAAAGCCTCTCCTTGGCGAGAAGGGCGTTCGTCCTGGCGGCGAGACCTAGCTTGTCGTGAGGCCGGGTGCTGAGGAGGGAGCTGGGGTTGAAGCTGATTTTGCTGAGGGAATTGCTGTTGATAGTGATACTGAGAGACTTGGTGCAGCACTTGCTGCTGATAGAGCTGGAACTGCTAAAACTGTTGCATCTGGGCCTGTGTGGCCCGCATGGACTGCACCAGGTTGTCAAGTTGGCTCTGGCTTGTTGTCGGAGGGACAACAGTTGGTTTAGCAAAGGTTGTCTCAACAGAGGGGGGAAGGGGAACACTCACAGGCGCCACTGCTCGTGGCACGTTCAGGCTAGGGACTCTGTCCACTGAAAGGGGAATGGTGAACTGCCCAATGCAGACCACGGGGGCCTGGAGCTGTTCCCTGGCGATGTCCATCTCCATGCTACGTCCGGCATTGCTTGAAGAAGCCATGGGTGCTAAGTTTTCAGAAAAGAAGGAACTGTGAAAATTTAAAGGGAGGCTTTTAGAAGCGATTCCCACAGACGGTGCCAAATGATGCGGCACGATCCGGGCACTCCTAGCTGGCTGTTGACTGGCTCCTTGTTGGCGACAGACGGCACCTGAGAAGATGGAAAGGAAGGATTCTCGGGGATTTTACCCGGTGGGAATACTCCGATGCTTAAGTTAGAACGCAGGGGAAAGAGAAAAGAAGTGTGCGGTAGGTAAGAGTGTAGGTCGCGCTTTTTCACTATGCTTGACAGATTAGAAGTCTGAAGAAGAAGTTTCTCTTCTGCCCTGAGGGCTTTTATAAGGGCGTTCTTGTCAGATCGGGCGTAACCGCCACTGGGCCCCTGCCACAGCCGTTACCTGCCAGTGCTGCGCAGGTGGCCGTTGCAACGTACTCCTTGCCCGGGTGAGTGACACGTCTCCAAAGGGTAGGCGCGCCTCCGCCTGCCCGGGTGAGTGACAGTCTGACCGGTACGGCCTGACAGATGGAAGCTTCCTGAGGAACGCTCGTGCTGCTCATTCACAAGCTACTTTGTAGCGAGCTCGGAATGCTTTAGGGTTACCCTTAGTAGAATTGGTCCCTAGGATGACTTATCTGCTTGGGGGCTCGGGTGAGCTGGTTTCCCTTGCTCGCGAGCTAAAGTTGCCTCGAAATATCCCTTTCGGGGCAGCTTGGGGAACCTGGAGCTCGCGTTGTGGCGAGCTCCTTCTTTTGCGAGCTGCTTTATGGGCTCGTTACTTGGTCGTACTAGGCCACGATGTTGAGCTATTGCTCGTGCTGAGTTAGGTCCATGTGTCACCATTTCGTAGGTCAGGCCAAATCATCCTCCTTCAGATACCATACCCTACTTGTAACCGTATGGATAGGGGTGTCAATTGGACTGGATTTGGTCCAATCTGATCTAGTCCAATGTGAGTCCATTATAAAATGGACCAGGTCCAATCCAATCCAATGAATGTTTTGGACCAATTTGGATTGGTCCAATTCAATGTCTCTTCAAATTCATTTTGATTTAGATTGGTTTCAACCTAAATCCGGTCCATTAATACATATATTCTTATCTTATATCAATGGTACGGATATTGCCTTAATCAAACCCAATCCAATATAAATTTGTTATAGACGGACCAAATTGGTCCAATCCAATGTATTATTGGCCCGTCCAATCCATCCAAATTGATTTTGGACTGGACGGGGTCCAATATAAAACCGGGTCCATTGACACCCTTACATATGGATTAGAAAACCCCAAAATCCATCAAGCAAAAAAAACCTATCCCCATCCGAAAAAAAAAAACCTATGCTGAGTTGGTATAGGACTGGCTTAGCCCAATCCGACCTGGATACTGATTAAGGTGGATAAAACCACTTACCCTAACTCGATCCACTTACATCCCAAAGTGGGAGACTGAGTAGCTGAATTAGAAGCGAGTTAGAATAGAGATGATGTATTATGAATGTATTTTTTATTATTATTTTTTGGATATTAGATTTACTATGATGTATGATGTATGATGGTCGGTTTACTTAGTAAAAGAAAATTAAGGATAAATAAAAAATAAATAAAAAATAATGTACTATAAATGTCTAACCTCACGTGTGGATTAAATATTATTAAATTTAAACTATTAAAATATGTAAAAAGTGATAAAGAATGCCACGTAAGCATCTCCCTCCTCACATCTTGACCACATGGGGTGTTGGAAAGATCCATGACAACGTAGACCCAACACCAAATTAGAGAGTGGGTCCACACCAAATGTTCCATGAACCAGCGGTACTATAAGGACTGTAGATCCGACGGCGTAGACACAAGGTCGTCCATCGTGTCGCCATCACCGACCCCACGTCACCACGTGCATGCGGTTTGATTAAAGCCAAAAGATTGTTGGTCGGAGCTGTCCAACCGACATTGACTATTTAGAATCTGATCAAAGTCTTGGTGGGCCCAATGAGAAAATATCCGTCTTGGTGGAGATCCATCACTGGGTGGGCCCTACAAAAACAAGCATATTAGATGGTTATTTTTGGGCATCTAAATTCTAATCAGTGGATGAACATGATTTCAGATGGGCCCACTTCTCGTCACGTCAGATGGTTTGCATGAATGATCTCTACAGAAAATTTGGTGTACGAAGCTACAATATATCATTACCAAGGTTACAAGCCAAAATGGCTGGTTCATGTTTTTCAACGTCCTTCAAGAATCCAAGGTCCACGACAGAATAGGGTACCCACCCAGCCTCCGAGCCCACGACACGTGCGGCCCAGTAGGGCCCACTAAGGAACAAACTTCAGGGAACTACACGTAGCAGAAGCTCGACTGGATTACGTATGTAGGTTCTCCGTTCTCGCTTGAGAACGACGCCGTCAGAAAAACGTCACGTCATGCCACCGTTAAATCTAACGGTTTGCGACTTGTGTCAACCGTGAACGCTTACGATGGATGCTGTGCTGTGCTGCAGGCCTTTGCAACAAGTTGCATGGATCGCGACGCGGGTGCACGTGCGAGTGGACCACTAAAGCACGTGTCGTTTGCGTGCAGACTGTGCAGTCGTCCCGCAAGGCTGAAGCTTGAAGGCACTGGGCTCCCCAGCCCACACCTCTAAAAAGTTGGATCAAGGAGAGAGGGGTCTGCATTTTCGTTCGTTGGTTTTGGTTATGTTAGTGTTTCGTGCATTACTCCGGTATGCAATGCTTCATTTACTTAAAGGGCTTGTATTTGCATTAAATTACTAATCTACCATTCAGTTGATTTGGTTTGAAAAATTCTATAACCATGATCCAATAAGAATATATTCACTCTTAGTAGTAGTAGAAATTGTCTTTCTCTGATTATTTTTGTTTGTTTTCTTATCTAGATCGAACTAAGCGTCACTGCCCAAGTTGACTACATAACTTATGTGAGGGATGGGATCAGATATACTTTTATTTCTATGATTAATATAACTTATAGCCGGTTTGGGTCATGGAATAGGGCTTGGAATCGGAATGGTCTATTCTGATTTCAACTATTTGGTTGGGTGGAATTGAAATCTTGTTCCCATCCTTGGTGGAATGGTATTCCCCCATTTGAGGGAAAGGTCATTCCATCCCCCTCCCTTGGGATTGAAATCCCATTCTAGATAATTCTAATTCCCATTCCGATTTTAATGGGAAATAAACTATTTTGATTTTGATAGATTTTGATTCCAATTTTAATTCTGACTGTGAATCAAATGGACCTTTATAATAATAATAACAATAAGAAAAAGAAGAAAAAACACCTCAGTGCATTTCAGTTATGTAAAAGTAGGGTTTGGTTATGATGCTAAAATGGCATGGTATCAAAAAGGAGTTATAACAAATCAAACATGCCTTGTAAAAATTGATAACCAATTAGGTGGGTTTTCATCAAAATTCACATGGAGATTGGTTGATCAAAGCCTTTTTGGTATCATGTAGCATCATGCATTTTTCCATGAAAAATATAGTTTTTTCAACATTATGAAAAGAGTGATGATTTAATGAGCACATTCTTATTAACATTCATAACCACATTGCTATGCTTATCACTTGTTAGTTAAGAAAACTAAGATAATAAAAAGTAAAAAGAAACATTTTTTTTCTCCTATTTTTCCACATGAAGAATGGATAACCATGCAGGGGTGTTCAATGATACCATTCATGTAGGAACCATTGGTGGCAATTAACTGACATGTTCTTTTTTGATATGCTGGTCCAAAACTTAGGAATGGACCAATTTGCAAGTAGCACAAAAAAATTTTGTAAGTCATTTTTTTTTTGTATTCAAGCTTCTGGGATAGATGCTCATGTTAAGTAACAAGAAAAAAAAATCCATTATAATTTTATTGAACGTACCAAACACATTGAAGTTGATACATGGGCATGAAACCATGAACAAGCATGGAAAACGCACAAGGTGGGATTGCGGGGAATGACCAGTCATCATCAAACACACGGAAAAATGATTAACATGCCACGTGTACAACCCCTAGAATGGTGGTGGTTGTTTGGTTCATGCTCAAAATATTGATAAACAAATCATCCCACTTGGGGTGTTTCAAGTAGGGCCTTTGAGTGATTAAAAAGGGAGACTATTTTGACTTGGATCACCCCACTTTTGAGAAAGTGTGCCTCCATTGGTCGCTATCTCTAGGGGTTGGAAAGGGAAAAAGATCTTTCAAGGGTATTTTCGTAAAAAGAACTTGGAACAGTATCAAACAAAAATCCGTTATTAAAAAAATGGATTAGAAAATTCTTCGAGACTTTGTAACGTGAACTAATGCTTTGATGGTGGCATTTTCGCAATTATCAGCAAGTTTATGTGTTTTTTTATATTTTACTTCAACTTTTTTTTTTCATTTTTCTCTATTATTTTCCGTTTTTTTGGGGTTCTGGGTTTTAATGTTTATACACTCCTTACTATTTCGACTGGTTTTCGTTTTCGTTTTTATATATTTTTCCTCAGAGATCGATCACTGCTCTCTCTCTCTCATGGTTGGAGCCCTGCAGCTGATATTCTGATCAGCTTTTCCTTGATTTCCTCCCATTTTTTTTTTCTGTCTTTTGGACTCAATTTTTGTGCGAACAAGAATCTCGAGCTCAACAAGTCGAAAATAATCGGAAATAGTGGAGTTTCGGCGTACTTTGGAGTGATTTACTTCGAAAACCTAAAAGTACAGTTTCTGTTGTTGTTGCCTAGTATTCTTCGTTTGTTTACTGAAAGCCGGAAGATTCGGGGGGTTCTTCTGTGCAACATTGAATGAAGTGCATGAAACATGGATCAAGGATTTGGGGATTTTAAGCAGCATTTTTAGTGTCGAAGCAGTTGAGAGAAGATTGATGGAGTGGAAATTGGGTTGATTAATGATGGTCGTTTCGGGTTTCAGCGATAATTTCGGTGTTCGGTTTGGAAGTTTTGGTGTTTTTGCGAATTTGGATGGGATTTTGGAGTTATTGGATGAACCGGTGAATGACAGGATTTTGCTTTGAGAATGGGTGAGGCATTGATTCCTGTGGAGAATCTGAATTTGTTCGATAAAGTCCTTTGTTGATGTCGCGGACTGAGAGGATGACAACGGATCTTAATAGGACTGGCCCTGTGGAAAGGGACATTGAGCAGGTATTCAAGTTTAGAGGTTTTGTGGACTTGAATTTTGCTTTGGTTGTTTTTGGTTATTTAGAATCAAGTCTGAACTGATTCAAAAGCTTGGACTGGAATAGTTTTATTGTATGATATACTGAAAGACTTGCAGATTTTGGCTGTTATATGCAACATTGAATTCCTGTTGCCGCTCTTGATTTGTCAATGTGATGGTTAATAGTAGAAGCATGCAATAATAAGTTTGTTGATTAAAGGGATATGGGTTAAAATCATATGTATAGAATATGGATCTGGAACCGCTTTCAGTCTTGTAGGATTAGGTAAGATAAGAATAGCTTTGGTTGGTCTGACTGCTGTTAACACTACCTCCAATTAACGGTTTTAACTGTCTACGCTAAATGACTTCAAGTTTTATCATATACAAGGTACTGATCCAATCAATATTAGCTTGTCAGGATGCTATGGTGATGCTTCGAAATTAAGGTTTAAGGATAGGACAGATGATTGTAAAAGTAGTTTAGAAGTACATAAATTATCATTTACACCAATTTTCCTCCATTTACCTTGCCCCTTTTTATATGAATCTCATTTTTTTGTCTTCTTCATCCAGGAATTTGGCTTTTATTGAAGAATGAATTGCCAAATACTCTGTCACTAGTTCAACTAATGCTCTCTTTAGGTTTCCTATTGTCCTACTAGGATTTTCAGCTTGTACCAAGCCATTTCTTGTCACTCATGCACACATTATTCATCTTTTCATAGGCAATTTGCCTCAGTTAACTGTCCTTTGTTTATGCTTTTTTTCTTTTCATATGGCAATCTGTCTCAGTTTACTGTCCTTTGTTTATGCTTTTTTTTTTTCGTTTCTTTTTTTCTGTTTAATAATCAAGGACTCATTGAACAAGAGAAAAGAGTCAACTGTCTTCATTTAGTTGAGAGGTTGGCTCCAAGCCCCCAATGAGGTTATCAACATCAACTGCAGAACAAAAAATGCTGTTGAGAGACTACACCAATGACAATGATCCCCATTGGAATTTAGCTCCCTGACCCTGCTCATGCAACACAATTTGCTAGTAAGTTGGCTGATCTAGGGATCAACCAAGCCGTTCCTTGTCACTCATAAAACACATTGTTCATCTTTTCATATGAAAATCTGTTTCAGTTGACTGTCCTTTATTTATGCTTTTCAATTTCTGCTTGACAACTGAAAGGACTCATTGAACACGAGAAAAGAGTCATATGTTCTCATTTAGCCGAGAGGTTGGCTCCAAACCTCAGTGAGGCTACCCATATCAACTGCAGAATAAAATATGCTGCTGGAATCCTCCAATACAAAGATAGACTACTACAATGACAATGATCTCCACTACAATTTAATTCCCTCACCCTGCCTGTGCAGCACAGTTTGCTAGTAAGTTGGCAGATCTAGGGATCAACCTGAACCAGAGGTTCGTTCAATATGTAAAATATGTATTTGCCTTTTGAAAGGAGTTTTGCCTCAGTTTAAGTGAGGTACATGCCTTAAAATGTGCCTAGGTGTAACTGAGGCATCTTTAAAATACTGGTAATTTAATTCTGTGTTGTTGATCAAAAAACACTGGTAACATCTATTACCCTTGATACATTTCAAACTAATTAGAATTTTAAATATCTAATAAATATAAAGCAATAACTTTTGAGTTCTGCCTATTGTCTAAAATCATCCTTGTGAGTTTGTGCTTCAGGATTTGGAGTAGTGGAGTACAGTACTTAAGTTACACAGTTAGATACACTCACAGACATACTCACACATGACACGCATACACACATATTTATATATAACATCTATGCAGTCCTACATGGTTGCTGTTGACTTTAAACTCTTTGTTCTTTGTTCTATCATCTGTAATCTCTATGTCTGGTCATCTGTTTTAAGCCTCATGTAATATTGCTTCCGGTGTCTTTCTTTATGTTTTTTTCCACAGAGTATCTGCTGAACTTGCTTTAATTTAAACCCTATACTTATTGTTATAGCAGGCCATCACTGCTCTTAAGAAAGGAGCATATTTACTCAAGTATGGACGTAGGGGGAAACCCAAGTTTTGTCCTTTCAGGCTGGCAAATGTAAGTCTGAATAAAATTTTCAAGATAAAGTACTTTATTTTGGTATTCCTTTTCCCCAATCATTAAATTGGTTTCATTACTAATATTTTGATAGTCATAATACGTCATACAACTTTTATGCTATGTTACATGGATATTACTTGGGCAATGTGTCTGAGATGGAATTTTTTTTTTGATGGATAACTGAAAAATTTATTGAATAATTATATTTACAAACTGCCAAGTGGCCCAACTTTCAGATCAGCCTAGCTACCTGAACCCGATAGTTAAAATGCCATTTTTACAAATGCCCCAGAATATTTCAGTCTTGTTGACCCCAGTTTTAGCTAGAGCATCTGCTATGCCATGGGCTACTCTTGACACCCACAATACATTGATGATCATTTCCCTTAATAAGCTACTAAGCTCCCTCAATATGTAGAGAAGAGGTTTTCATTTCCCTAGCAGGTTTTATGTGTTTCGGCAGCAAAGAAACTGTATTTCATCTATTTGTGTCATGTGATTCTTCCAAATTCTTTTGGGGCTATTTCTTCCAATTGTTCAGAAGAATGGGTTGGCATGTAAATAATCCTGAAGAGATTTTTGCATTATGGCCTAGAATTCATGGAAGTGAGAATGCTAAAATCTTATAAAGTTGCATTCTTTTTGTTGTGGTTTGGGGAGGAAGGAGTGTAATAGGAGGATCTTTGATGATGTGCTGAAAAATCATGAAAAGTTCTGTGCTTCCACTAGAAAATACTCATGTTAAATTTCTGAATGTAATTCATAACCTCTTGTTGTACTTTATATTTATTGAATGAATTCTTCTTTGCTATTGATAAAAAAATGTTTTTAGATCATCTTTGAAGAAAGGGATAAGTAAGAAGGATGGACTTTAAGGAGGCAATTGGAAAATTTGTTGTTGAAAGAAGAGATTAGTTGGAGACGAAAATTAAGAAATAATTTGCTTAGGAAGGGGGGATGGAAATACTAAATTTTATCATGCTTTGGTAAGTGGGAGGAGGAAGAAAAAATTTGTTTCCAGATTGGAGGTGGATGGAGTTGCCTTGACTTGTCAAAATGAGATTGCCCAGGCTTTTGTGGATCACTTTAAATCAATCATTAGGAGGCCGGTGGCTTGAGGGCATGGACTGGTTTAAATTAACTGAAGAGTCTATGGCCTAGTTGGAGGAAATCAAAGAGGCAGTGTTCTCAATGGATATATCCAAAGCACCTGGTCCTGATGGTTTCACGATGGCATTTTATCAAGATTGTTGGGATGTGTTAAAAGATGATTTACAACAAGTTTTTAATGAATTCTTTGGGAGAGGTGTAATCAATCCAGGCTTAATTCAACTTTTATTGCTTTAATCCTAAAGAAAGTAGAAGCTATGCATCCAAAAGACTTTAGACCGGTTAGCTTGATTAACAGCTTGTATAAAATCATTTCTAAGGTGCTATCTTGGAGAATCAGGGTTGTGCTTCCCTCCATTATCTCTCCTGCCCAAGGGGCTTTTGTGAAAGATAGGCAAATTATTGATCAAATATTAATTGCCAACGATTGTGTTAAAGATTTAAAGAGATCTGGGAGGAAGGGTTTGGAGTGTAAATTGGACTTGGAAAAGGCATATGATTTGGTTGATTGGGATTTTCTGTTGGGGGTAATGAAAAACTTTGGTTTCAGTGATAGATGGTGTGAATGGATTTATGAATGTATCAGAACGTGTCACTACTCACTACTCAATTTTGGTGAATGGAACTGTGGTGGATCATTTTCCAATTCTTAGGGGGATAAAGAAAGGCGACCCCTATCCCTGTTCCTATTTATCTTGACAACAGATGTTCTTGGGAGATTGATTTCTAGGACTGATGCTAGGAATTTGATGAGGGGTCGGAGAGTAGGTAGAGATGAGACTCCTATCACCCAACTACAATTTGTTGATGATACAATCTTATTTATGTGATGGGGGTGGTCTTAGATGGGCAAGGAACTTGAAGATGTTAGTTCTCATCTTTGAAAAAATGTCCAAAGTCGATTGGGATAAAAGTTGTATTGTGGGCCTGAACTTGGAGGATAGACAAATTATAGAAGGGGCAGAAATCTTGGAGTGCAAGGTTGATCATTGGCCTATGAACTATTTGGGTCTACCTCTAGGGGATAAGGCATAGTAATTTTTGGAATCTGGTGGTTGAAAGATTTACTAAAAGATTGGCTTCTCTTTTTTGATAGATAATGATAATGAAAACTTTATTAAATAAAGAACTAAGTAGTCATCATACAATTCCCCACAAAGAGGCGCGAGGTGCAGCCTCCAAACTACATCATAAAGCTTACAATTGAGCCCAAAAGAGCTGATTCCTATGTACTCCTTGTTTAGCTAGAAGGTCTGCCAGCCCATTTGCCGATCTTCTTTCCCATCGAACTGTGACTGAAATATTTGAAGTCAGCCACTTAAATCT